GAATTTCACACTTTCTCTCTAGTGTGGCATGCCCTAGCAAAACAAATGTGCAAGGTGATAACAGATAGTTTTCACAGAGGCCATGCACGTGTGCATTGCTTGGACCTGCATGATGTCATGTCCAGCATGCGTATACATGTACATGATGTCATGTCCAGCATGCGTATACATGTACATGATGTCATGTCCAGCATGAGTATACATGTGCATGATGTCATGCCCAGCATGAGTATACATGTACATGATGTCATGTCCAGCATGAGTATACATGTGCATGATGTCATGTCCAGCATGAGTATACTATACATGTACATGATGTCATGTCCAGCATGAGTATACATGTGCATGATGTCATGTCCAGCATGTGTATACATGTACATGATGTCATGTCCAGCATGAGTATACATGTGCATGATGTCATGTCCAGCATGAGTATACATGTGCATGATGTCATGTCCAGCATGAGTATACATATGCATGATGTCATGTCCAGCATGAGTATACATGTACATGATGTCATGTCCAGCATGAGTATACATGTGCATGATGTCATGTCCAGCATGTGTATACATGTACATGATGTCATGTCCAGCATGAGTATACATGTGCATGATGTCATGCCCAGCATGAGTATACATGTACATGATGTCATGTCCAGCATGAGTATACATGTGCATGATGTCATGTCCAGCATGCGTATACATGTACATGATGTCATGTCTAGCATGCGTATACATGTACATGAGTAGCTATTGGCTACCAGCAGAACCTCTAACTGTCTGGTGATCCATTTCTTGCACCAATTCTACCACTGCATGTAGCCCTTTCCCAAAGGTGCTCTTTTAATTCGCACTTAGTGCTTTTCGCGTCCCTCAAAATATGCTGAAAAAGTGCTCTTTTTTCAGTGAAAACAGGCAAAATGTGCTCTTTTTTCAGTGAAGCATAGCCATGCAACATTTTCAGATATGAACCCAAGCTGAGAATTGAATACGCACTCTTCCATATATGGGTCCAAGAAAGGCAAAACAGGAAGTAAAGTTCAAAAAACCCACTTTTTACAGCATTGTGTACAAAGTACAAGCTTCACTAACTTGTTGCCCCCGAAAAAAGCGGCGGGCCAAGGCCCATCGAGCACTCGGAAACTGTGATCGCATGCATGAGCAAACAGATTTTAGCATTTTTTCACCTGAAAAAGCTAAAACAGGGCGGTGTTCACCAAAAACGCAATAAAGGGCGAAAGAAATGGGCTTTTCCAAAAAAGGCCAAAAAGGGCGAAAAAAGGGCGAGCACCTTCATGAAAGGGCTAACTGCATGTGCCATTACTTTATCGGGGATTTTTGATATTTGCTGAGAGAGAGAGAGAGAGAGAGAGAGAGAGAGAGAGAGAGAGAGAGAGAGAGAGAGAGAGAGAGAGAGAGAGAGAGAGAGAGAGAGAGAGAGAGAGAGAGAGAGAGAGAGAGAGAGAGAGAGAGAGAGAGAGAGAGAGAGAGAGAGAGAGAGAGAGAGAGAGAGAGAGAGAGAGAGAGAGAGAGAGAGAGAGAGAGAGAGAGAGAGAGAGAGAGAGAGAGAGAGAGAGAGAGAGAGAGAGAGAGAGAGAGAGAGAGAGAGAGAGAGAGAGAGAGAGAGAGAGAGAGAGAGAGAGAAAGACAGAGAGACAGAGACAGAGACAGAGAGAGAGATGATTTTGAGTTGGTGTAGAAGCAATGTAGCCTTGTTGATGCAAGAGTGAAGCCAGCGTGCAGACGTGCATATACATGTACTTGGAAAAGTAGTGCGATGTATCAAACCGTTGTGAAGTTTGCCACCTCTGACCTGGTGCAAGCCATATGTGTGCATTCCCGGTGTCAACTGCCAGCTGCACTGTTATGCCTGACGGGTGCGAGACCCGCATCGGTACATTACACAAATGTATGCCTTAACCATATCTTTATAGGAAATTCTAACAATGGTGGCACTCTAGTACTGTCTTTGTGATCGATAACGATCTCAAATATAGGCTGAGCATTACACTCTGGATGAATCTTAAATTGCCAAAACATTGCTAAAAAAAGGAGATGCACATTATACTCCGCCAAATACCTTTATTCTGTGGTTGCAGCTGTCACAGATGATCAGGTCACCAGCTTTGTTGGTTGCTAGTCCCCAAGGGCTGTCAAACTGATCTCTCCCGCTGCCTTCACTACCAAATGAGTACCTTGCTTTGTGGATCTGTGTGTAATCACGCTGCAATACAGGAGAGCAGTGGGAACAACAGCAATCGACACTAGGACCATAGAGGTTGAAAGTAGTGATGCCATTGGCCCAAACCTGGCTGGGTGGTCATTGAGACCGTTGGTTGCCGGACCCTGTACCACACGGAATCCTGTATTCATACTTGGCAACCCAGCCAAATCAAATCCCTTAGTCACACAACCAGTTTTCCCCTAATTTTCTCTCATTTCTCTTATTTAGCTAGTTTTCGCCAATTTCGTCTATTTTCTCTTTTTCGGGCAATTTTTGAGTATTTTGCGAATTGTGCGCAATATTTTGGCAATTTTGTTCTTTCTTTTTATTCATTTCTAACCCATTGCTCATTGGACCAAAGCTTGGATTTCTTCATTGTCAGATCGCCCCTACGTAAGGGATTCTGTGAAAAGCAGGGCCGCATGTGCCCTTGTCACACCACAAACCAGCAATTCCAGTAGTTTTTCGGTATGTTACCGGGTTACCCTAGTTACACACACACACACACACACACACACACACACACTCACACACATACACAAACACACACACACACACACCAGCACCACCCACACAAACACACACCCACACACACACACACCTAGTCTTACCTGCTTTGTTGGAGATTCAGCTATTTCTGCTGCTGCTGCTGCTGCTGATGATGATGATGGTGACAACGTGTTTCTGGGCAAAGTAGTCTGATCTGAGGCTGAACCTTGTCTGGGCACCCTAGCTGGTGTTTCAGCTGAGGAAGCGCTGGATGACATCATTGGTGGTGTTGCAGAAGATGTAAATGTACTGCCTGGTGATGGAGTGGACTGGGGAATAGAATCACGGCGATGTGAGGTAGTCGGCATCGGTGGTTGCTAAAGTATTCAAAATCGACAAAAAGCGCAATGTATTGTCCTTCAATAGCAGGTGTGTACATGTATATGACAGCCTCATTGGGCATCTGCCCTTGTTTTTCCGATGCCGTTTTATGCTCCTTCTAAAAAAGGCAATTATGCCTTCAATTATTATTTATTATTATATGTGTATAACAGTCTCATTGGGCATCGGCCCTTCTTTTTCGGATGCAATTGTATGCTCCTTCTCAAAAAGGACCTGATTATGCCAAAAATTATGCCCGCATAATCCGCTTACCCCTAGCAAGTGCAGCGCTGTGCCGCGAGTCCGCAGCCTTTTCGTTGAAGCATCAACTGATGATGTAATCAAATAACGTCTATTCACACAGGGGGTGATGAGAATAGCAAGGGCCGTACTAGCAAGAGTACAGAACCAAGAGTGTGAAACTCCTATCTTGAGCTGCGATGGGTTCACCCACGGCGGAATTTTTTTATTGCCTCATCCTTTGGCAGAAGTATGATGAAGTGGGTATTCTTTCCGGCGCTTGTTTTGTAAATACGGTGAGAGTTCGTCAGGTTCAAGACACGTCGATCTTTCGTCCGTTGTTCTGCTTCTACTACCGTAGGTGTAATGTACACATTATTTGCACTTTGATCTCTGGCTATGCATGATGGCATCAGTGAGCTAAACCGCCGCCAAAGACCATGAAAGACTGATGTCATAAAAGGATTCCGCTGTGGGCTGGAGAATCGTAGAGTTGCACACTCTTGGTTATGTACCCTTGGTACTAGTAATAAATAATCCATCATGAATTATACTATTCATGAATGGATTATGAATGGTTTCATGAATGGATTCACGTTCATGGGTTCAACAAATTAATTGATTTGTGGGCAAAATCGAACGCACTCACGTGAGTCTGTATGTAGTCTGTAGTCTAGTCCAGGTCGGATCCGTACTGCGCTCGTTAGCCTGTTCAGCTCTCCCAGCACGGCAGCAGCCTGTTGTACTCTTGCCTCTACTCCCTAGGCCGCTACTCGACTCACTACTCGCACTGACGTCGTTATGTTACTGTATACTACCGGTAGTAGACTCTACTACCGGTGGTACTACTACATGTACATGTAGTACGGAACATTTTGTGTTTATGCTCGTCGCTGTTCGAATAACCAATCATTAGTGAGGTTTTGCATTCCGAATTTCGGTACAGCGTTCTTCGGTCATTTGTCGAACATCAAAATGTCGAATTTTCGCACCAACGTTTGTTTTGCAAGTCGAAAATGATGTGTTTTCATTTCGTGAGCCCCAGCATCAGCAACGTCCTGTCCCGTGCTCCTTTTCTTGCTGATTCCAACGAACTTTGATCACCCAAAGAGTCGAGGGCCAAACCTGCCTCCTCAGTCGCCTCAGAAAAACCAACTGGCAACTCCATGGCCAAGTCAAATTTTATGCGTGTCGCCATAGTCTTTTCAGCCACACAGATGACGGTGAGGACACTCCAGGCGAAAGAGAGTCGACAGGCAGTGGAGAGGAACAATCAGAGGTAGCTGACGATGCTATGTCGCCAAAGACGCCTGCCAAGCAAGGCCGAGATAAGAAACCTCTTTGAATAAATCACGCGCTAGCGCTCTTCTACAAGAAAATGCATCCGAAAAATATTTTCGGCAAAGTGAGCTTTTTCCGAACAAACACGCCGAATCTTCGTGTGCATTTTCGACCTCGCTCCCACGTGCCGAATCTTTTTGCCGAATTTCGGAATGCAAAACCTCTCTAGTATCGCAGGATCCTTGCCCTTAGCGCGCCCTACGCTTCTTCGTCACCATGGTCACGCATGGGTAGACCATGGTAGACTCCCGATCACAGGATCTCTCAAGTCTCATGTACTAATAATGTTCGGTGGGAACATAATGTTGACTTCAAAAATAATTGAAACATTATTTTTTAAATGTTTGCGTTTGAAAATAATTGGCGGACTACATAGTCATTGTACTCGATCGTAGATGTACGAGTACCTAGACAGCAAGAGGCAAGACTACTACATGACTTTGTAGTACTACTACTAGTACTAGTTCATTCAGTAACACTCACTGGAGCAGTGCATAGCCTGGTGTTGGCCATTAGGTATTTCTGGTATTTGCAGATCACTTGTATGGAGTCGACCCTGGTAGTTACATAGAGGAGAGTCGTGTTTTGCTAATCGGTTGACGTTCGTTAGCTAGCGGTGTTTTGATCTTACTCGTACAAACTACCCCAGCGTAGCGTGCACTGTGACGGTAAGAGCATGAAAAAAACTGGTACATTTAGACATGTAGTGGAGGAGCAGACAATTGCACAAAATTTAAAATAATGCTGTGATCTAAAATAGAAAGTTCTAGGTACGTACAGAGAGGCAGCTCCCATTTGTATGATGCTTGTCAGTGTTTGTGAAGGTATTGAAACTTGAAGTATGAAAAGAATTACTGAGGAACACTCTGAAATTACAGTACACGTAGAAAAAGATTTTAACAAAACAATCAAGCCGTGAATAGTATGTAGCATGATATTTGAACTTGTAGCATATAGCACGCACTGGAGCAGTCATGGAGACACCAGTAGCCTTCCTGTGGAAATGACATTGATTTTGGATTTTGCTGTTCAAACACGCCGCTACGCAAGCAGTTAGTGACACCCAGTTGCTATATTCTACATTGTATGTGTTCGTGTGTGCGTGTGTGTGCTCTCCGTTACGTATCTCTGTGTTTGTTGCTATGGAGTCTAATAGCTCTCTCTCTCTCTCTCTCTCTCTCTCTCTCTCTCTCTCTCTCTCTCTCACTCTCTCTCTCTCTCTCTCTCTCTCTCTCTCTCTCTCTCTCTCTCTCTCTCTCCGTCTCTCTGTCTCTCCAGAGCAAGCTGTTCAGTGTACTGGACAGTCATATGGAAGAACCATACAAGGTCACTGAGATAGCTCGCCACAGCTAGTCACTATGGACGCTAAAGCCCTCGCTGACCATCTAACCAACTTTTACTCTGGAAAGACAGCAGCACGTCGACTCGCCGATGATGAAGTTGCGGCAAACGTCATGTGCAGGGTGTCCATGGTACAAAGTGGTACTGTGCCGACAAGGCTGAGTGAGGCATCAGGACGGCGCACGGCGTTCGTTGCCGGCCGAGATACTGCCTGCCGCGTTCTGCCATGCAAGTCACCGTATGATGTCCTGCTCGCCCTCGGTCTAACACGCGAGTTCATCACCCTCAAGGTAAAAGATACGGGAAAACAGTACCTGCTTTAAAAAAGTGGCTAACAGCATCAAATGAGCCTGGAAGTGTTTTCGACTTGTGGGATGCGAGCTACAGTCAGACCTCGCTTAACCGCACACACCCTTTTTCTACGAAATTATCCGGGTAGGCGAGGGAACCGGATAATCGACCACACATACTGTATGTATGCATGACATATGCTGTAAATCGGTAACCAACGATTTTCTTCCGGATGGCGAGGGATCCGGATAAAAGAGGACCGGATAAGCGAGGTCCAGGCTCGTGTAATGTGTACGGGATGTGATCTACCATGCGTGTGTAGTATGTGATCTACCATGCTCCTGTAATGTGTGTAGTATGTGATCTACCATGCTCCTGTACTGTGTGTAGTATGTGATCTACCATGCTCCTGTAATGTGTGTAGTATGTGATCTACCATGCTCCTGTACTGTGTGTAGTATGTGATCTACCATGCTCGTGTAATGTGTGTAGTATGTGATCTACCATGCTCCTGTAATGTGTGTAGTATGTGATCTACCATGCTGCTTTTATGTGTGTAGTATGTGGAGTTGTACACCACTGTAGTGTATGGTGTTAACATAGAGTATGTTTAGAGTATGTTTAGCTATACTGATCTGCAAGCACGTGTAAAAGCGTATACCGTATTTTCCCGAATATAAGTCGACTTCGATTATAAGTCGACCACCCCAAATCCAGGAGTCAATTTCATGAAAAAGAGTTGTTATAGCTCCATGACACCCACACATACAAAATGATGAGTTCTCTGCGAGGAGAGATCATATCATGCCAGTAAGACAAAATCTGAACAAAACCAGTGTCAGTCGCAGGACGAAAGTTCACATGGTTCATACGGCAGTGCTTTTTTGTACGGACACTCCAGTCACTTCATTTGTTGTGTCAGATTCCCGTATGTAAGTCGAGTTCCGTTTGTAAGTCGGCCCCCAGCTTTTGGCGAAATTTCTGGCGCACAGAAGGTCGACTTATATTCAGGAAAATACGGTGAATGTCAACTAGGACAAGTGATAGATATTCGCCATCATCTCTACAATTCCAGTGACATATGACAAGAATCCACCTTTCTGTGGCCAGTGACGTGTACCCAGCCGTCAGCATTACTTGTGATGAACACGGTGTATGTCTGTGATTTGTGTGGTGATGAACAGAGTGGATATCTGTGATTTGTGTGGTGATGAACACGGTGGATGTGTGTGATTTGTGTGGCGATGAACACGGTGGATGTCTGTGATTTGTAGCAAAAATCTGGGAACGGTGTATCTCTGGAATACAGTTCGTAACACAGGCCCAACCGAACGTCTTTACATTATGCATATTTACTCACAGCTGTATGACGGTGCTAGGTCTACATCACCCGATTGTTCTGCATGCAGAATGATGACGATTTGCAGTGCCTGAAAACTTGATGCGTGTGCTTTGCTTCCGGATCTTTTGCTTGTCCCTGTGCAGTGCGAGGTGGACAAGAATGATGCATGGCTGTTGCTCTTCCAGGCCAAGATTGTCGAATGCGATAACAGTCATGGTGCTGCTCTTGCCCAGGCTAATCAACAAGACGTGCCCGATGACAAACCCGCGGACGCTCACTTGCCGAAGGGCGTGCCAGCAACGTGGAGCGGTATCGTGGAGCTTTGCCGCCAGTTCTACCCCGGTGCCGTGCCTGACGTGATGCGGCATCTGAGCGAGTTCCGTGCGCGCTCAGTTGCCGATTACGAGAAGGCCCACGGCGTGAATTTTCTCTCAATAAAACGATCGCCCAGCCAGTTAATGGACTATAGCAGATTCATGGCACTTGCAGCTCCTCGCTCGGCCTGGCAAACGCGTCTTTTTCTCTACTGTGAATTACGCCTCTTGGAGCTCTTTACTGGTCAAGGGTTTACGAAGAATGAGTCGGATGCTGTCACAGTGGGAAATGAAGACCATTGGCCGTGTCTCCGAGAATGCGTGTGTGAAAATGCCGAGCTGGCCACACAGCTGAGCTCCGGTACGGCATCTCTCATCAAACTGCAAGTAGTACTGCCGGATGAACTGCAGTAGTAATTATTACAATGGTGATGTTTGTTTCAAAAGGGTTTGCTCCCTACACTGGAGCTCATGCTACTAGTATGTGTTTGTTTGTTTGTTTAGCTTCATTTTCTTTCACCATAGGCACAGGAGAAATGCCTTCTCACTGGGCGTATTGCCACAGTTCTCGCAAAATGATGGAGATTTTTTTTTATGTTCACCTTGAAGTTGATTTTGAAGCAGTGAACTCACTTGATCGTCGTATCATTATTGAAGGAGCCAGGTCAGTTGGTATGATGTGATGGCATCTTTGGGCTAAGTTAATTTATAGTAAAGAAAGGGACCAAGGAAGTACGTTGTATTTCTCGCCGGCCGAGCGCAGCGAGATAGGCGAGAACTGATTTCTCGCGAAATATTTTCAGTTGCAAATATGGCATCTGGTGTGTTCTTTATTGTCGCTTCTTTTCCTGACTTCTTCTGTCAGTTTTGAGTCTTACCAGTGTCCCTGCCCTCCCACACTTCATTTATGTGCATATTATCATTGCTTTTTATCACTTTTTGCCATGATGTGCTTACCATGCCTACATGATGCCTAATCGCCATTGGGGATATATACCCGGTTTTTATCCCTCACAACTGTGTACGTCGGCGCGAGGGTTTTTTCCCGGCTGGCTCGGTCCAGAAAAATTAATCTGACGGTCCCAAGCGGTTCTGCATCATGGCCTCTTTTTGCTATCCACTGGCATGCCTATTCTATCTGAGACACTCTGTTCTCAGTCCTTGCTTCCATACCTCATTCGCTATCCGGTTCACATCTGGCTGCGGCCAACTACCCTTCACTTTGTGTAGTGTCGTTATTGCTGTCTATGTCTCTGTGTGTGCACGTATATGTGTAGCGAGTAAAGTTATGCTATTGTTCACTAACACCCCAGTTACTTGACTATCAGCTCATGCGATAACATTGCACAAAGCTGACCTTATAATTATGTAGTTTCTTTGTTGCTTTTCTTTACTATAAATTATTAATCATTGGCTCTCCTTTCAAATCTATCTTTAGCCTGAGTGCTTTTTTCCTGAGTGAAGCAGGTTAAACAACTCCACCAGAATGGAGCATGACTGTTATTCAGTCGACTCCTGATGTAGCGACCACCCTTTTGGAGGAGAATTAGTTCTTTATATCCGAAGTTTGTTTGTGTTGCAAACCACCAGTTCTCAAGTGCGAAAGGCTTCGTGCTTAAGGCATTGTATTCGTTGCAATGTTGTATTTCGACTCCGCCGTACCGCTGATGTTTGCTGCATGGCATACGCTATATGCGCTGTGTGCGGTTTGCAGTGTACCACTGGTATACGCTGTCATGTCATGTTTTATATGTGTATGTTTTGATATACATGTACGCTGTTTTTGCATGCTATAAATAGCTGGTGTTATTAGTGTTAATTGTTAATTATTCGATGAAGTGAAATATACTGTGTAAAGGAAAAGAGTTGTCCTCGTGCCGTGTGGTCGTTCGATGCTGACAATTTAGAGAACCTCAGAGGGTTCATAACAGTTTGAACAGAAATGCTCTCACACCATAAAAAGAACACGTCATGACTGGCATGTGGTCCATGATTCCATGAGTGCAATTGGTTATCATGCCGCCCTACAAGATAATATTATTATGGTTCGTTAAAAACAAAAGCAGTTCGCTACCAAGGGTCATTTTTGAATCGGTTCAAACAGGGCCGGAAATGGACAATGGTCGCTAGCACGAAATTCACTACTATAACAATACGAGTTTGTTATGAGTGGAGTCAACTGTGTATCCAACTTGGAACTTTGAGTAAAGCTTTCGAGTCGACATTCACTTTTAAAAATGGGATTCTCTACATCATGTAATGCCATACCTTCTCAATACAAGTTCCCCAATTTCTGAGTGCAATTTTCTGGATTTGGTGTTGATATTTTGCCTGGGGACCCAACAGACTGTACTTGCATCTACATGTAGTTGCCACCTAACTAAAAACCTAAGGGATTCAGTGTAGTTATTCTGTTTCACATAGTACATCAAACGGACGATCATGCCAAATATTTTACGATATTAAATGGAAAGAGAGAAAAGAGAAGATAACTTTAAAAAGTGGAGTGGAGAAAGCACAGAGCGCAGAGGTCTCTTGGGACAAGAGACCATGCGACTATTAGCCATGAAAGTGAACTTTCAAGGGACGCTAGATTTGGATGTGGTAGGACATGAACTTTAAAAACAGGGGTAAAGGCGCTCCACAACTAACTTCACAGCGATTATAATGTGGAACTGGTCCCTGTGAGATCCACGATATACACCTGCGCGTGTGGGGAGGGGGACATCGATCAGAAGCAAGGAATAGGTCCGTTTGGACTTCGCAACCATGATTTGACATTGCATTCTCCCCCTCCCCCCCCCCCCCCTATTGCAGGCACTTTCTTGAATTCTGCTCCATTTCATGATCCACATACAACCAGGCAGGCACAGTGGGTTGGTCAGAGACCATGATTGAGATACGAGAGGTACCTGGTTCAAGTCCTGCCTGGGAGCGGTTTTTCCAGCCGTGCTGCTACCCACAGTCAACTGGGAACTTGTGGCCAGGCACAAGGGGTACATGGATGCAGCTAATGGGGTCGTTTTCGGCACTTGTGCCAGTGGTTGTGAGGCTTACCCACTCACCCCCACCGTTAGGCGCTGCATCTGCCGCTAGGGTTTATCGGGTGTTAGCGGCCGTCGTGAGTTCCCTTCGGGAACGGATACGATAATTTACTTTTTTTTTTACTTATACATGTACCCAGACATCCACAAAACAAAAAAGAAAATGTACCGAATTCTGCCGATTTTTCTGCCGACATTATCCGCTAAGGATTTTCTCTTGCTCGCGATCACTTGTACGCGATCACTTGAACGCCTCCCCCCCCCCCCCCCCCGGGCCCCCGCTCAACCATACCACGAAACAGGATAAGGATCACTGTGGTTTGCGGAGTGTGTGTGTGTGTGGCTTTTTCTGGCCAGTGAATCCCTACTTTTATAGCTGTGTGGTGTAGACCAGGCTGAATAGCGGCGGCCAATTCTTCAGCCTTGCAAGCTGATGAATGGTGCAATCCCAGCACAAGTCGCTATGGCTTCTGCTGTAGCATCGCTATCATCGCCTCCGGCGATGGGCCTCCAATGGTCCAATGGTCCAATGGTGTGTGTGTGTGTGTGTGTGTGTGGTGTGTGTGTGTGTGTGTGTATGTGTCGAAAAAAGAAAAAAGAATAAAAAATGAAGAAATGAAAAAATGAAAAAATAGGGATTCACTGGCCAGAAATAGCCACTTCAATCAGCTGTGTGGTGGATACCAGGCTAAAATTAGTGGCGGTCAATTCATCAGCCTTGCAAGCTGTTGAATGGTGTAATCCCAGCACTAGTTGCTATGTCTAACATAGCTGTTCGCTATCATTGCTTCTGCGATGGGCAGGTCTGAGGTCTGAGGTGTGTGTGCGTGTGTGTGTGTGTGTGTGTGTGTGTGTGTGTGTGTGTGTGTGGTGTGTGCGTGTGGTGTGTGTGTGTGTGTGTGTGGGGGGGGGGGGTGGTGTGTGTATGTGTGTGTGTGTGAATGTAGTCAGAGAGTGTGACTGTTTTATGCACGTTTGATTGTTTGTTTCTTGTGTGTGTGTGTCCACGTGACGCATGGCAAATGGACAATACAATAATGTACTTACATGTACGTCCGGTACGCAAACTAGTGAAAAATGCCTGTCAGAGTTGTGGAAGCATGAACATCCTCTTCATCTACATACATGTATGATGTGCATGTAGGAACATGTACAAACTACTTTCTCATCAGTCGGATGTAATGGACCTTATGCCATTTGTACAGATCCACGAAATCCAGTAGAATCCCGTAGACCCGGTAGAGTGTTGAATGTGCAGGACCCTATTGTGTTTTCTGCTATTTCCACTAAGAAATGGGGCCTGAAGGCATTTCATACGAAAACCCTTTTCTGACAAAGATCTAGCTAGTCATTAGCTCTAACCAAAGTGAAGAAGCTGGAAAAGCGATTGCTGGTTATTGAATTATGACGCTAAAAAGGTCAAATGCGCATGCATAGCACACAATGAACACCCTACCGGGTCTACGGGTTTCTACGGGATTTCGTGGATCTGTACCAATGGCATTATTATTATTTATTATTTATTTCACCTTTCCGTGGCCAGAGAATATAGGCCAATATGGAGGGAGGGGGGGGGGGGGGGCGGTAGCAAGCCATGTCAGTAAACAAAAACAAAGCAAAAATAAATAAATATTATACATTACTGGAGGCAAAGAGAAACAAATCTGAATGAAGAACTAGCAGTTATTAGAACACGAGCTTCATGTTGGCCTTGAAATCCTTTAGCGTACAAGACGATTTTACTGATAGAGGCAGGGCCAGCCAGAGAGAATAGGCAGCGAAACACGGATATCTGGTATAAGCTGATGTTCGGGCTTTAGGTAAAGTGCAGGGATTGCGCGTAGGACGAGCGGGAAGAAACCAGTTATATTTACGCAAGTGTGGCGGGGCTTTGTCAAGACGAATAGAATGAACAACAATACACAGTTTTCGATCCGCTTGACTAGAGATAGGGAAGGTGTTAAACATATCATACAGCTCGGCAGAAGGAAAGTATGATGGTTTGCGGAAAAGGACTTTGAGTATCCTCTTATTGTGGACTTCCAGGGTACTCATTAACGATTTACTTAGTAGGGATGACCAGGCGGTTGAGCAATAGAGAAAAATGGGGAGAATATAGCAATGAAAAAAAGGCGAATGCATTCAAGCGGTAGGTGGGAGCAGTGAGACACGAGGTAGCCAACAGCTTTACTGACTTTGCTACAGATATGGTCGACATGTCTACTAAACGATAAGTCTGAGTCAATGACCAAACCAAGATGCTTGTGTTGTTTTACCACTGTGAGGTCTGTGAGGGATCCGGGAAGAGTGAATGCATAGGTTGGCTCTGAGTTCGGCAGGAATAATATCTCAGTCTTGGCGATATTAGGTCTTAGTCTCCAGGTAGTCATCCACTGATGGACTTCGTTGATACCGCGCTGGAGACTGTCTCGCAGCCTAGACACTCATTGAACCGGAGCAGTGCAGTGTCGGCAGCAAATAAGAACACACCTTCAACATGACTGGGAAGATCATTAATATACACTAAGAAAAGGAGGGGCCCTAGGATGGATCCCTGGGGCACTCCGGACAGAACAGGTGAAGCATCTGAGAGAAGTCCACCTACAAAGACAACTTGCGTTCTGTCGGATAGGCAGACAGGCATAAGGTCGATTTAATCATCCCTTATTGCTTTTTTACTGCCAGATATCACTGGCAGATAACACTTCACAACATAATGTCATGCCCCAAGTGCTGCAAATGCACAGTCATCCACAATAAGCGTTGTGCACACAAGGGCAAGTGACATCATTGGTTTACGTCATCGCGCGGGACGCTCAAATTGGGTGGCAAAACCTTTTGGGCTTCGTTGTTTGAAGAAAGAACAAACTTACATTTTGGTTTAGTTAGGTTCAGGTTATCTGTCGACTGTGGAGGAAGTGGTTGTAGTCGTTTAGACACGATAACGAAGTCTTGCTGCGTCTTTGGCTGCTCCAATCGGGGTGGCAAGCGGAAAGATGGAACAAAGCTTTCTTTTCACCGTCTTCCTCTGGGAAAGAAGCCTACACTCAAAAAGTGGCTCCACAACATGCGGACATCGAGTGTGGTTGTGGGCAGCTCGAGAAGGGTCTGCGGCGCTCATTTTGTTGGCGGAAAGCGCTCCAAGGAGCATCCTATCCCAACGCTGTTCGCGTGGTCAGCAGCAGAGAAGACAAGGAAAACGCCAAAAGAACGCGTGGCCCTGAAGACACATCAGGACAAAACGCCCCAACCGTCAGCAGCGAAACCTGAAACATGTGAAAGCACTTGTGAGGAGCAGCCATCACCATCCCTGCCCAGCGTTGATGAGCAGATCAGTGAAGTGCAAACTCAGATCCAGGAATGTTTGGAGGAGAACACACGGTTGCGGATGGAGGTGCAGAAGTTGACACAGGAGAATGAGGCACTGCGAGTCAAGTTGGAGGAAACTGCCACAGTACCAGCACCAGAGTTTTCTGTCGCCAGGATTTGCAACAGTGCCAGCCTCACCAAGTTCTATACTGGTATCCCCAGCTATGAGTAATTTCAGGCATTGGTGGCTTTCCTGGAGCCCCCACTGCAAGGGGATGACCTTATGGAATGGAGCAAGAACAGGTGAGGATGTTATCTGCTCTGTGCTAGATTTTGATGATGTAAATACTGTGCTTTGCAATGTTGTTGGGTGGAATGACTTCAGTAGTACGGAACCTACTTGTGTCGGTACCATAATTTCCATACTCAGTGCTGTGAGTCTCCATCCTCCTGGCAAATCAAACTTCTTTTCGTGGGCCATGTCATACATGTCTCGGTTCAATGTACTGTGCCCACTGCATAGGTGAACGGCAACGTCAGTGTGTGAGGGCCTTGGACGATGAAAACAGCCTGCTCCTTACGTTCATGAAGTTGCGGCTGGATTGTCCTAACGAAGACCTGGCTCAGAGGTTTTCAATCAGTGCAGGTACTGTGAGCCGCATCTTCACCTCGTACCTCATGGTCATGTACCACGCCTTCAAGTCCGCACAGCTACCCGCCTGGCCGTCTAGAGCGCAGGTTAGTTGTCATGCCAGAATGATTTATGTCTGTTGATGATATGCCCGTGGCTCAACAGCTGAAGCCTAACCCATTACTGGTCGTTAGTGAGTCCAGCCTTTTGGATTGCAATAGGGCTGGTTTATTTTTTTCCTAACGTATACCTTACATACGATCGCATCAGTGTCTGTGCTTGATCTGGTCTTTCGAGAATTGAGTCCCATTGGTGTGTGTGTGTGTGTGTGTGTGTGTGTGTGTGTGTGTGTGTGTGTGTGTGTGTGTGTGTGTGTGTGTGTGTGCTATGTGCCCATGTTCTATCTACTAACCTGTAGATCGATGCCGCTATGCCCCAGAAGTTCCGCGACCTATACCCCACCACACGCACTATAATCGATTGCACCGAGTTCCCCATCCAGATTCCCTCCGACCCCGACACTCAGAGAGTCACCTGGTCAACGTACAAGAATAGAAACACATTCAAAGCTCTAGTTTGCATCACACCCAGTGGAGCTATCTCGTTCATCTCTTCCCTGTATGGTGGGTCAGTTTCTGACCGTGAAATCACCAAGACGTGTGGAGTGCTGGATTTGATGGACGAAGGTGACTCAGTCATGGCGGACAAAGGATTCACAATCAAGGAACTCTGTGAAGGTATGTCCCCCTGTTTTGTTTCCTTTTGGTGAACTATTAATAGTTTATGGTTGCGATCAGTGCTGTGAACTCCTCCTCACAGTAGATGTGTAGTGCAGTCAATGCTGGAAATGCTGGTGTAAGCAAGTTTTGCTTGGAAGCTTATAAACTGTGCTTCTTGTTTCTTGTTACCTCAGAACGGGGTGCCTATGTCAACATACCACCGTTCATCAAGAATGGCCAACAGCTGACCGAAAAGGAGTTGGTGCAGACCCGCCGCGTTGCCTCGCTACGCGTTCATGTAGAACGTGCTATCGAACGAATAAAGAACTTTCACATCCTGGATTTTATTCTATCCGCTCACTTTGACATTGCTGATGCCATAGTTCTGGTTTGCTGTGTGGTTGCCGATTTTGGTGCGCAGCTCATTACATAGCTTCCTTCCATTTCTTGCTGCACCGTTACTGCTCAATGCGTTCAGTTACTGACAGGTTCATGATGGCCTGTCCCAGTGTTTGCTTCTGTGAGCCTCTTCCCCCCCCCCCCCCACCCCCCACCATGCATCCGTTGTTATTTTCCACACGTGACTGCTGTCACCACCATAGCAATATCACTGCCTGTATTTCTCCTCTTTGCTTTTCAGCATGAAGTGACAAAAGTGCGTTCTATGAAAGTAACTCAATGGATCATGGAAGCAACCATACAAATCACAAGCATGTGTGTGGCTGTCATGTACGGCAATAAAGTGGGCTATGTTCACGTATGGTTGTAAAAAGAAATGGTGTGACGTGGGGCTGTATCCACTTTCATGTTCTGTACACTGGCAATAAAACACTAGACATTATGTACACTGACAATATAAGTATGTACACCGTATGCAAGCGTAGCCGTTCATGTGGATGCATTGCCACAGCTCCACCGTCCATAGGGTGGGGAAATACATGTAGCAATGGTGGCAGCCAATGAACACGTCAAAGACTGGCGTCACCATGAGCTCTCAAGCAGCAACTGCAAACTTTGCCCATGTCATCATTCGTGCACATATGATGGAACTGATTGGCACAGACTTTTCACGGACGCAATGCCAATGCTCAATCAAATGAACAACCTTGGCAGCAGGATGAGATTCCTGTGGCGGTTGATATACGTTGCTGCCGGTCCACATTTCCTTGCGTTGGAGACTTGGCAGCATCTTCTGCAGCGCATACCTGTCGTGGCGGGCTATCCTTCTCTTGCGTTGAAGAGGTGGCGGCATCTTGTAGAGCACACAACACTGGCGGCGGCACATTGAGCTGGGTGAGGTCGGCAGGGGCAACATCCATGTAGCAGACGGGCTCTTCTTGTGGGTGAAGAAGTTGCGGAAGCAGCCAACCACGGTAGAAGCCGGTCAATTTCGGCTCCATCTGCTCCTTCCAGAACGCCGTGTCGAATGAGATTCGCTGTATAGCGATGCCCATTGGCGTCCACACGACAAAGTCGCACCACTGCACTTCAGCAACTGCCATGCCACCTTGCACTTGATAGAAATAGTCATGTTGTCGCCGTAGGCATAAACCTCCATCTGACCATGTGCAGTGGAATGGGTTGGAGCCAGACTCCATGCATGCATCTTGGGGAGAGTGGTGACGATGGGAATATGGGCATTTGACCTCAAGTAAACCCATTTGCGATGTCAGCGGCTGGGTCGGGACGAATACGATTCCATCTGGGCTGGCAGCAACGTACCCACACTGCATGACAACAAGACCACGCTGTGAGACACACAGGCCATTCTTGCCAGACATGTGCTGCTTCTCCGAGTAGATGCAGACGGCTTCATCTTCATGCTCTCTGCCCCACGACAAGGCCGGACTGTTGATAACTGACTGGGATAGAAGGCGTTTCACCAACGACGGATGTGCTGATTTGCACTTCACAATCACGCCGAAGTTGGATGTTGTGAGTCGCCCGTACCTGTTGCATAGGGCATGAAATGAACACACCAGAGGGACATACACATGAACCAACCAATCTGCAGTGTTGGGTGAATTTGAACATACTTGAAAGTGTTGTAAAGTCATGGCCTAAACAAAGTCGTCAACAAAAGCATGAAAACAGTATACACCCGTCATGTTTTGGATAGTGTTATGTGCCTGCAGACTTTCCTGGACTGAATGCAGTACACTATCCTCAGACATACCTTTGCATTTTCCACTGCCGGTTACCAGCCTGCCCACGAGTTCGATACTCCAGTGCATGGCGTTGCTGCCTGGACACTTGCATATGACGCATGGACATATCACACCATGCCACGACAACACTGCCATCAGGTCGGAATGTGCTGCGGTACGTCCTGGACTCCTTCATCAGCTGCACTAGCTCCGGCACTGACCAGCAGTCGGGTGATCCAGTGGAGCAGGTGGTTGTCTGAGCAGGAGAGGTAGAGCATGGCCGCAGAGTGTCCAGGATATTGGCTGGTTGGGAGCAAGAGCTCAACAAGTCAAAGAGTCTCTGTCGCTCTTCTGGTGCAGAGTCTTTTGGAGCGGTGGCAGCACGTGGATCGAAGGACGCACGACTGGAGGTTGACTTCGGGGTATGGTTGAACACAGGCTTAGCGAACTCCATGTCAGAAACTCGCCTTTTGCCTGGTGGTGCGCTCCAAGCCTGTAGGTCACTGGTTGAGCAGGTCATCCCAGTGAATATCCCTCATCGGCAGAATTCCTCTAGTCCATAGCATATGGCCCCGATGTGCTTGCAGCTGGCTGATGGGCCAATGCCAGCTCGGCACTCACAAGACGCATAGATGATCCGTACAGAGGGCTCGCGTTTCATTGCCATTGCTATTTTATACCGCATCGACGTCTTCATCTCTGCCTTGCAAAACCCACGGAAATACACCGTCCCATTCTCCAGGCACACCTCTCCATCTCGGCAGTACTTCTTGCTGTAGAGTCCAAAGCTATGGGAGGACACAGCTCTCATGTCGTCAGCATCCAGACCATCAGACGACTTCCTGCACATGAAGTGGTCCATGAGGGAGAAGATTGAGAACTTCATCTTCAGTTCCTCCTGCGCCACATCCACCAGCTTCTTCCATCCTCTGTCAGGAAAACGGACATCAGATGACGAGGCTCCAGCGGTGTCATCCTCAAGCTCCCCAGTCACAGTCCCAGACAGCAGCAGTGACGACACTCTGCACAAACACAAAAACGTGTGTACAGCGAATGATAATAATATTATTGCGCATTTTATTATTATTTGGAAACTATTCCCACAGCAATTTCAGGAGTAATATCAATTTTTTATTGCATCCTTACACGGAGGACAAGGTTTTTTGTGTGTCTCACGTCTTTTGCAGGTCAGCTTTCTTTCCAGAGTCGTCTTCGCCTTTCAGCTGCAGGTACAGCCTCATTTCCCCCACTTTCCATGACGAAGAGTTTTTCTTGCGCAAAGTCGATTCCCATAACGAACTGGACTTCTTCAGGCGGTCCTCAGCTGACAATTGGGCAGACATGGTCCAGAGCGTCCATAGGCAACAGCCAACAAGAAAGAAAAGACCAGGCGAAAGACCAAAATACCGCTTCCTACTTTCATATGTCACCTCGTGGATAAATGCCAACGCCATGCGCCAGGTCTCTGCCACCCAAAACGCTTTCCCGCGGTTTTTCAAGGCCCAAAACATGACGTAATGCCTTGTGTGCACATCCACGATTAACAACAGTCATCTCTGCTGCGAGTGTGTCTCGCCAAACACTAATAATGAGTGACATCCTAAAAATTAATGATTTCCAGTGTAGTGAATGTCGTTTTGAACTGCGTCCTCAAGTATCACCTTTCACTGCTAGCAGCAAGCGGAAAATCTTGATGCTCGCAGGAGACTGGCGACCAGGACATGTTCTGCGTGTGATTACAATGAGAACTGGCCACCTGCGACGGAACAATTGTCTGTGAGCTGACCCTCCACATTGTGAACTCGTCCGAGACATACCCAAAACTGTGCTTCTCTGGATGGCAGTTGTTCGCCATGGGACATTAGCCAGCTAGATCGATGGGATATGGGATAGAGGGAACGCTCAGAGTTGACTTGCGGGGAACGCTGCACAGACAGTAAGTACTTAAGGCGGCAGACTACCCAAAAATTCGCTGAAAAATCGAATTTGTAAATTCATATTGAGTGCTACGTCAGTTAAAAGAGCATGAATAGCTGCAAATTCTCTGAAAATTGTGTCCCTATCTGACCAGCCGTTCAAGAGTTATGGCCGAAAATGTGCCCTTGCAAGGAAAGATTTTTTTGTTGCATGCTGTCATTTGTTGGCAGCACTGTATTTGAATGTGAGCAGACCGTGCGCAACTTGTCGTATTATGGAAACACGCGAAAGTGTGCAGAATTTTGCCCGAAGTCCAAAAAAGTCCAAAAAATCACGTTAAAAAACCACGTATTGGGCTGCACGGCGGCGGGCGAAGCCCGCCGCCGTGCAGCAGGACTTTTGCCAGCACCCTCGTGACGTTGCAGATATGTGGCTTGATTATTGTAGTTGACGTTGATTTAGTGACTTTGGCAAGTTTGAGTCGCGTCAAGAAGTCAGGTAGGATTCAGTACTAGGCAGTAGTGAAACGTGAGTGGCAGTCTTTGCCGGTTTCTGAGGGCATCCTGGATTTGGTGTGCAGCGCTGTGGAAATGGCTTGCTGTGGAGGTCCCAGCACTGGATGTTGTATCAAAGGTACGACCTCGTAGCACACCCTAAACCTAAAAAATTCAAAAATTGACTTGGGTCTGTGGGAGTCCGCGAGAGAACGCCCACTCGTTCCGTTGTGACAGATTCCAGGGCCACTACCCATAAATTTCATATGGCATTCAATTGACCGTAACTTTGGTGTTTCTCAGAGGATTTGAGTGAAATTTTGACCACACACTCCTGCCACTATGCTGGCCCTCAGGACATGATTTACAAGTTCTTGCGCCTCACTGACAGGCTTTCCAGGCCGGAAAAACTCAAATTTCCGGCATAGTGCCACGATGTGCGAGCCACCCAGGAACCAAACAAATGCATTTACATTTTTTTCACATTTTCGTGCCCATTCTGTCCGTGCGCGGGACCCAAACCTAAAACAAGTCCAGAAGCAGCCATGGGTGGTGGGGTAGGGCCCCTCAACGTGGCCCTGGAATCTGTCACAACGGAACGAGTGGGCGTTCTCTCACGGACTCCCACAGATCCAAGTCAATTTTTGAATTTTTTTAGGTTTCGCACGTGCTACGAGGTCGTACCTTTGATACAACATCCAGTGCTGGGACCTCCACAGCAAGCCATTTCCACAGCGCTGCACACCAAATCCAGGATGCCCTCAGAAACCGGCAAAGACTGCCACTCACGTTTCACTACTGCCTAGTACTGAATCCTACCTGACTTCTTGACACGACTCAAACTTGCCAAAGTCACTTAAAATCAACGTCAACTTTCTACAATAATCAAGCCATATATCTGCAACGTCACGAGGGTGCTGGCAAAAGCCCAATACGTGGTTTTTAAAACGTGATTTTTTGGACTTTTT